CCCCCAAGAGCGACTCTCTATAGTTTGGGCCCACGGAGTAGCTGAGGGCCCCCAACTAGGGAACCCCTTAAGGAAGCGGGAGTCCCTGTTCCTGCCCGTCTCTCCTCCAAGAGTTGCGGGGTGCAGGGAAAAGGTGCTTTTCCAAGAGGCAACTGGACTTTCTGGGTATTTTTAAAGCCATCTGGAGCCTTAAGGACTCTCCAGTGGGATGCAAAGGACCAGCTGCCTGCAAGGAGTATCAATCCTCCCCTTCCGAGCTGAAGAAACTCCTTGGATGAGAAGCGAAACGTCTTCAAAGAAACCCCTGAAAGTCCAGGGGCCTCTTGAAAAAAAGCCCCTTGGGGACAAGCAGGACCTGGGGGGCTGAGAACCTCCCTGCACACGAGGAGGGCAGGGACTGTGTTGGGGTGCTGGCCCTGCTTCTGGGGAGATGAGGGCGCCCTTGGCTAGGAGGCCTCGCTCTTCCTTCTGCCCAGCCTGGGCAGCTCCTGCTGGCTCAGGGGGTCCTCTGCCCTGCGGAGAGTGGGTGCCAAGGGAGGGACACTCCCTCTGCCCAGCCCCAAGGTGCCCCTCGGGCGGAAGAGCGCAGAGCCACCAGCCGCGTCCCTGGGGCTGCTCAGCACCTCTCGCAGCTTATCAGGCCCAAGCAGAGAGCCAAAGGTGCCTTGGGTTGCACCCAGATCTCCTCCACCCTTCGGAGGCGTCTCTGGAGATAAGGGCCCCCTATCCCTCAGGACAGATTCCCCAGGGAGGGGGGGCGCATTCTCAAGACCTCCTGCTATCCTGGCCAGCAAGGAGTTCCGGGGGCTGCTCAGCAAACAGGTGCGTCCTCTTAAGACCTGTGGGGAGGCCCTGGAGGGGAGGGTGGGCAGCCTGCCTCCCCTTTGCAGGAGGGGCCAAATGCGCCCTTTGGGTCTGGCTGTGGCTGCAGCAGCAGAGCCAGAGGGAGGACGGGGACCAAGAATCTGTCGGAAGGGTTGCATGATTGATTCAAGGGGCCCTAGGAATTAGGACGCTGCATTGCAGAGAGGGGTGGTAGGCGCAGGGGATACTTTGAGAAAGGCTCAGGGCTGTTGCTCTCTTCCAGCATGTGGCTCAGGGCTACCCTCCTCCTCCTCCTCCTCCTCCTCCTCTTCCGGACCGGCCAAGGGAATCAGGGTTGCAGTGGCACCCTGAAGGAGAGCTGCCCCTTTCAAGAGGTCTACACGAGGACCCGAGATATCGCAGAGATCCCCAAGTCAGTAGCTCCCATTATCACGGAAATGTTCTTTGTGGACACCAGCATTGTAGACATTGGACAGGGAGCCTTCGCGAACATGTCTAACCTGGTGAAAATTGTGTTCCTAAACAGCAAGATTAAAAGAGTTGAAGCAGGAGCATTTGAGAACTTGGAGAACTTGGTGGATCTGGAAATCACTGGGGCTGAGTTAGGGGATCTCCCCGTGGGCACCTTCCGGTCCCTGGATCGCTTGCGGAAAGTGAACCTGAGGGACTCCCGGGTGAGAAGGATCGAGAAAGGACTGTTCGAGGGTCTTGGGGATTTGGAAGAGATCTACCTGCATCGGAATGAAATTGCGTCTCTCCCCGGTGGGGTTTTCGATGGGCTCCCTAAACTCTCCTTGTTACATTTGGGGTGGAACCAGATTTCCAACGTCTCACGGGATCTCTTCAAGCACCTGACCCAGTTGAAGACTCTCCGGTTGCAGAATAACCGGGTCGGGAGTCTCGGGGAGGGGACTCTGGACAGCCTGCAGCAGCTGGTGGAGCTCAATCTGGAGAGCAACAGGCTGCAGACTCTCCTGCCCAACTTGCTAAGTCGGCTGGTCAACCTGGAGAAGATTCTTCTGGACAAGAACTCAATTGAGGTTCTCCCCCATGAGACCTTCCTTGGACTGAGAAAAGTGAAGCAGCTGAGAATGGCCTCCAACCACCTGAAAGCCTTCCCGCCCTTGGGGGCCATGCAGCTGCTGGAGGAGCTGGACCTGAGCAGGAATAGGATCTCCTCCCTGGAGAATTTGGCGGGGGCTTCTCTCCCGTCCCTGAAGACCCTCAAGCTCCAGGGAAACCACCTGGAGACCCTCCCCAC